AGCCCATCCTGAATCCCTTTCCTGGAATTCATCAGCTTTCGCAATTAGTTCTTCATCATCATTGTTTAAAATTTCTTCGATGTCGTTGTATGAACTAGCGTAAATGGCTTTTTACGTTGTTGAAAAATGTTTAGTTTCTTCATGAAACTTATCAGCTTCTTCAGTTGGTTTTATATACTTTCCATGAACTGATAGACGCACTTTCATAGCTCTTAATTCGCTTAGTGCATATTTTATAATGTTTTTAAGATGAGGTTTAAATTCAGTGTAAAAATCATTTAAATAGAGTTCGCGCTTTCCGAATACCTTATATTTTTTTATATAAAAGTATCACTTTGTTTTATAGGAAAAATGTTAGCATTTTGCCACACAAGTTTCCGCGGTCCTTCACATCGCTCATAATGGGTTATAAACTCATTCACACTAATAATTTTAGAGCACAAGTCACATGCAACTTTCGACTCAATTTTTAAGTTTTTGGGTTTTTGTTTTTTTATTTTTTGTAAAAAGAAGAAGCGTAAAAATTGCTTTAGCCGGCAAGGCTAGATTTATACTAAAAATTTGATTCTTAGTATAAACCTCAAAACCTATTGATCCTCGAAAACGGAAAACAGGTACTTGTGTTTGAATGTATTGGTATCATCAATACATGTACATGAGTTAACGCATGAAAAACACCCCAATTTTCCACACATTTTTCCGGTTAATGAATCGGGAAAACCAATCAGAAGACTCGAAAGAAAAGATAACGCTTAGAGCCTAGAGCCTACAGTAGGGAGTAAATAGGCAATCGGCTGATTTCTTGCGTCATATCCGTAAATGCAAGTTATCCAACCCCTAAATACAAGCCACTTATGGCTTTTATAAACAATATTTTCAATCTCTGCATTTGCCTTTGGCTTGATATTTGGCTCAATTATCCAACCCATAAATCCAGGCCACTTATCGCTTTCCACTTATGAATTTTATAAACAATATTTTCAAACTCTGCATTTGCCTTCGGCTTTGTCTTTGGCTCTGAGGTCCGATCTCGGTTCCCCATTAACAAATCAAAATCAAAAGTAAACATCAGCTTCCCTCCGAAGCCCAATAAATTACGCCTTTTGCGTTTCAAGTACCCGATCTGCATCGATCAGCTTAATCGAATTTCACAATAAGATGCGACAGTTTCATCTTAAGCCTCTAATCTAAATACAACTAATAAGTTAAAGAAAAATAAGTTAGAAAAACAAGTTAAAAGCAAAAAAGGAAAGCTAACTTCGGGCGGAACCGAAGTTTATATACCCTTGCAGTTAAAACCGGATATATATCGCAAACATCGGATATAGTTGGCCGATCCTTATGGGAATAGGAATATATAACCCAATTTATTACAATACAAAATCTAAAAAAAGTCCCAAACTTCTATCTTCAAAAATACGAAAGTTGATATTTCTACCAAATACCATTTCCGATCGTTCAGGTATATGGCAGCTATGGGATATAGTCGCCGATCCTAATGAAATTTGGTAGGTTGGATCAACTGACCAAAAATAGAATCTGTATTAAATTCCAGCTTTCTATCTTCAAAAACACGAAAGTTGGGTCATTTCCGATCGTTCAGTTATATGGCAGCTATAGGATATAGTCGGCCGATCCTTATGCAATTCGGCATGACGTAATGTTTTGCCAAAAATAGCTCTCATATCAAATTTGAACTCTCTAACTCTAAAAACACCAAAGTTATACCATTTCCGATCAATCAGTTATATGGCAGCTATAGGATATAGTCGGCCGATCCCGGCCGTTCCGACTTATATACTGCGTGCAAAGGAAAGAAGGGTGTGTGCAAAGTTTCAAGACGATAGCTTTAAAACTGAGAGACTAGTTCGCGTAGAAACAGACAGACGGACAGACAGACGGACAGACGGACATGCTCATATCAACTCAGGAGGTGATCCTGATCAAGAATATATATACTTTATAGGGTCGGAGATGTCTCCTTCACTGCGTTGCACACTTTTGACCAAAATTATAATACCTTCTGCAAGGGTATAATAAACGGAACTCGCGCGGTCAACAACTCAACATTTTTAGTGGAAAAATTAAAACATCCGCCAAACGACACTACCAAGTGACAATGATCGTTAACAACAAAGTAAATGGAAATTAATTAATGAAATAATCCATAAACAGTGAATTAAAACAAAGGTGGACCGAAATTTTAAACCAAACAATTACAAGAACACAAAACTAAAAATATCAACGCACAAAAAAAAAACAAACAAGAACAACAAAAACAAATAAAACGACAACTCCAACAAGAAAAACCAAGGAAGGAAGGCAGGGCATTCTCAAATAAAAACGACAACTCGCTCCAACAAGAAAAACCAAGGAAGGAAGACAGAACATTCTCTATCCATTTATCAACTGTATCCAGGAAGGACGATCAACCACCAACCACACAGAAGGAAGACCCCAACGGGACAATATCGTGAGGTATTAATTTAAAATAATAAAAAAATGTAAGTCTATAATTTAAGATCTGTGAATTTGAGAAAAATAATATAAGATTTATATATTGCAAAAAGTAAGATTCGCGATTTAACAAATTATATAAAGAATAAATCTGGAAGATTTGATAAATAGCTTTTGTGAATTAAATCTAACAATGGCAACCGGAGGTTCCGCACCAAATTTTTCTGCAGGCAGTGTAGCCACAGCCGGCAGTTTAACAGTAGAATTGATAAACAGATTAATAAACGCTCAATTGAATGAAGTTAGCAGGAAAGTAGAATGTTTAGAAGGAAGGCTAGGCACAGATGCAAAAACTGTGTAAGATTATAAAGTACAAACAATTGACCCAGCTATAAAATGCGATACAACACTTGAGGTTGAGGTTGAGGTTGAGGCGGCGATGAGGGCCGGTTCTGACCCCCATCCACTTGAGCCGCTGGGGCTCCTTGTGATACCGCACAGGCAAAGATCCTACAAAAGGACCTCTCCCTTCCCACTACTTATGTGCCCAAGGGGTGCTCTATCCTTCTTGAAGCGGCTCGCGGTCCCATCCAGATTTACGGATGAAGGTTACGAGTCTGTGCAGAGCGACCTCCGCGAGGTCTGTAAGGTCTGTAAGTATTGCTGCGCCCAGGAATTTGAGTCGGATGCGCCCCAGCGCAGGGCATTGACACAGGAGGTGTGCGACTGTCTCTTCCTCTTCTTCGTCTCCACAGCTCCTGCAGTAGTCATAATGAGGCACCGCTAGTCTAGCCGCGTGTGCTCCTATTAACCAATGTCCCGTAATGGCCTTGATCGCCAGACTACAGTCCTGCCTATTCAGGGCGATAAGCATCATTGACCTCTTCCTAGATCGGATTGGCCATATCATGCGGGAGTTCCTGCAGTTTTGGAGGTTTCTTCATTTCCGCAGTGATGCGCGGTCAAAGTGATCCCTGCATTTTAGCCTACACAAGGGGATACCTACTGGTTCCTTCTCCGGTAGGAGAGGATTGGTAGTACCTGCTCTTGCTAGTTCGTCGGCGGCGCAGTTACCCTCGTGGTCCCTATGCCCGGGCACCCATATGAGGTGTATGTCATGCTGCTCTGCCATCTCGTTAAGAGATCTGCGACAGTCATTCACTGTCTTGGAGTTGGATGAAAGACCGTCAAGGGCTTTGAGTGCCGCTTGACTGTCTGAGAAGATACAGATTGTGTCCTGATTACCAATAAGTGCTGGGGATCTGAGTGCTTCTCCGATAGCTATTACTTCTGCTTGGAAAACACTACAGTGGTCTGGGAGTCTGAAGGACTCATTTAAACACAGCTGTTCGCAATGGAAACCGCCTCCCACCTGGCCATTCAATTTTGAACGGTCTGTGTAAATATGGAGGGAACCGGTTGGTCCCGGGATTTGTGTGTCCCATTCCTCCCTTGTTGGAATGTAGACCTTGTATTTTAAGGTGGGATTATCGACAGGATACAACACTTGAAGTGGTAAAATCTTTACCAAATTTCACAGGGGAAACAACAAAATATGTAGGTCGGAGGGAAGCTGCAGAAACTGCAATGAGTCTCTATAAAATTGAAAGTGAACAATATTTTATCGCCCTAACAATTTTACGAAATAAAATTATGGGAGCTGCCCATGATGCTCTTACCAATCATGGCACAGTTTTTAACTTTAAAGCAATCTTATCCCGATTGGACTTTATATATAGTGACAAACGACCAATACATGTTCTCGAGTCAGAACTAAGTATCCTCAGGCAAGGACGAATGACAATTACTGAGTATTATAACGAAGTCAATAAAAAAATGACCTTACTAATAAACAAAACCATAATGACATACGGAAAGGACAGTGTAATTACCAAAGAAACAAACAATTCAATAAGGGGAAATGCTCTACGAGTATTTATATCCGGACTTAATGGATCTATTTCAGAAACTCTTTTCTCATTAAATCCACCAGATTTGCCCAATGCTTTGGCAAAGGTCCAAGAGTTAGAATCAAACAACTTCCGTGCTCAATTCGCAAATAGGTTTAATGGATTTAAAAATGAAAGTAAATATCGGGGAAACAACTTACGATTTGATCAAATAATAATACCACTTGTTTATGAATAGTGGACTGTATTTGTTTTTTGTATTAGTTTTATGCATTTATTTTCACTATTTAGCGGGTTTACAATACTTTAAGCGGGGTTGCTATCAGCGAGCGGTTGCGGTTAATATCAACAAGCGAATGCGGCCGGCTTGCAAAACGTGCATAAAAAGAACAGAAAAACGATCGCGTGATGTTCTAATACTAACGCATTGCACTGCAATTTCGGCTATGCGTGTGAGCTTAAAGCTCCCAAATGGTTACAATACAATGATGTGCGCAAAAATAGGTACTATAGGTAATAGGTAAAAATAGGTAATAGGTAAATAAGCAAAAGTAAAGAAGCAAATGTAATACTATTTAAATGCAACAAAAAGACGAACTATTTCCCAACATACCGGCCCCCCTGAACGACGGTTCAGTTCAAAGGAAGCACAGCAATTTTCGTAACAGGGCGCTTGTAGATTCCCTTGGCGGTTTTAACGGTGACCACCCGAACCCTCTGATCCTGGCCAGGGTGAACTTCGGTGACTCGTCCTAGCATCCACTTGCTTGGCGGTTGATTGGGCTCCTTCAGCACAACCAGTGTGTCCACGGCAACATTTGGAGTATCTTGATGCCATTTCGTGCGAGGTTGAAGCGTGCTGAGATACTCGAGATTCCAACGTTTCCAGAAACCTTGAACCTTGGCCTGTAGTTGTCTCCAGCGCTGCAGTCTGTTGATATTTACATCCAGGAAAGATGGTTCTGGTACCGAAGTGAGAGGCTGACCTGTTAGAAAATGAGAAGGAGTTAGCGGGTTAAGACTGTGATCGCTAGGTGCGCATGAAGGGCGAGAGTTCAGAAGCCCTTCAATCTGAATTAACAGGGTCGAATACTCCTCGAATGTCAAGGCACTGCTGCCAATGACTCGTTTTAAGTGCAGCTTTATGGATCTCACACCAGTCTCCCAAATGCCTCCGAAATGGGGAGCAGATGGCGGAATGAAGTGCCAATTAATCTCGTGGCTGGCCATGAAGCTTGAAATTTCTTCATCTTGACTTTGAGCTATTGCCATTCGTTGCATTTCAGCTAAATCTCTTTTGGCTCCATGAAAAGTCGTTCCATTGTCCGAGTATAAATCCGATATAGGTCCACGTCGAGACCAAAAGCGTTTGAAAGCGGCTATAAAGGCGGGTGTCGTCAAATCGCTGACCAATTCTATGTGAATAGCTTTTGTAGATAGGCAGACAAAGATCGCAAACCAAGCTTTGCCAAATCTTGGTGTCCGGCCTGTCGATGTTTTGATTGACACAGGTCCAGCATAATCCAATCCAGTGTGCAGGAAACAACGAGCGGGTTGAACTCGAAACTCCGGTAAATCAGCCATAAGTTGAGAACTCGTGTGTCTTCGCTGCAGAAAGCAAGTTCTGCAATTGAATACAGTTTTGCGGACGAGGTTCCGAGCTCCTAGAATCCAATACCTTTGGCGTAGACTATGAAACGTGTATTCGACTCCAGCGTGTAACAATGCAGCATGTTGATAGCGAACTAGCAGACCAGCTATTGGAGATTCCTTAGGAAGGAGAATGGGATGCTTTGCGTCATAAGTAGCTATAGAATTATCGATGCGACCACCAACACGCATTACTCTCTGCTCGTCTAAAAAGGGTGTGTAGCGAATCAACTTCGATTTCTTCGACAATGGCTGTCCGGTAGTTAACTGCTTGTACTCCAAGTGGAAGAACTCTTCTTGAGCGCGCGTGAAGATCTTAGCTCGTGCATATTGTAGCTCCCACGCCGATAGGAATGGTGAAAGTCGATTCCTCTCACGAAGACGATGAACGAAGCGAAGGCAGTAGCTGACTATCCTTAATAAACGGGACCATGAGGACGATTTGTTGATCATACAAGATAGCGAATTTCCGTCGTCGGAAATGTGTAGATTAACTTTCGTTTCAGCCTTCATCTCTAGGCAGGCCTCTTCTTCTGTCGACAGAACAAACTTAGCTTTAACAGGTGGCCAAGCTGAACGTGACTGAGATAGCCAAGGTGGTCCATTCCACCATATTTGATGATCCACGAGGTCCTTTGGCAGTACTCCTCGCGATGCGCAGTCTGCGGGATTATCACCACTTCGAATATGTTGCCAGCAGCTGCGTGGGCAAACCTCTAGAATTTCAGCAGTGCGGTTGCAAACATAGGTGTTCCAAGTCCTAGGCGGAGAAGATAGCCAATGCAGGACTATTTCAGAGTCTGACCAACAATTAATTCTGGAAATAGGAACAGTTAATGATTGCTTGACCAGATAAATCAGTTTAGAGAGTAAATGAGCTGCGTTTAACTCTAGTCGCGGAATGGAGATAGGCTTAATAGGGGCTACGCGAGTTTTAGCCATAATCAGTTTGACAGCATATCCATTGTTGACTTCGACGCGGCTATAGATGACGGCAGCATACGCTTGAGATGATGCATCAGCAAATCCGTGCAGTTCCATTTCTTGATGTGGTGCAGATATGTAGCGAGGAACTCGACAAGTTTCCAATAAATGCATTTCCGATGCAAACTGTTGCCATCGTGTACATATTTGCTGCGGTAGTACTTCATTCCAATCGACAGAACTTAGCCAACTATCTTGAAATAGGATCTTCAGAAAAACAACAGTTGGCGAAAGCAAACCCAGCGGGTCGTAGATCTTGGCTAGTTCTGAAAGCAATATGCGTTTAGTAAGAGCAGTCGTAAATGCGGGGGTTTCTAATTTGAAGAAAATATAGTCCGGTTTTGGTTCCCAACACAATCCCAGGACTTTAACAAATCGAAATGAGCGGTCTTCCTCTAAATCCTCTGGTGGATACTCACAAATCTCCTTTGGCAACGACTTTAAAAGGGCGTAACAGTTTGAGCTCCACTTTCGCAATTTGAATTGAGCTTCGCTAAGAAGCAGAATCAATTCATCTTTGAGTGCAATGACATCCTTGATGTTGTCGCATCCAGTAGGAATATCATCAACGTACGCGTCTCTGTTGAGCACGACAGCAGCGGTGGGATACAATTCGGCATAGTCATTCGAGAGCTGTTTAAGAACTCGAACTGCAATAAACGGCGATGAAGCTAATCCATATGTTACTGTCAACAGTCGATAATGATCCAGCGTAGCGTTTTCATCCTTCCTCCAAACTATGCGTTGGTACTGTGTATGTTCGTCCGACACCAAAATGCCTCTAAACATCTTCTCGATGTCTGCACAAAATACATAGCGATGCTGACGAAATCGAAGGCATACTCCAATTAAGTCCCTTTGAATAGGCGGACCTATATGCAGTCGCGAATTAAGAGAATGACCCGTGGAATCCTTTCCAGAGCCGTCAAATACCACTCGGCAACGTGTGGTAGTACTATCTGGCTTAAAAACTGCATGGTGTGCCAAATAGTTGTAGCGTGCGGGATCCTCACCGCCTGCAGCAGCCGGAATCAATTCCATATGTCCTCGATTTAAATAATCATCCATGAAATCCACATATTGTTGTTTGAGTGCGGGGAATCTTCTAAATTTCCTTTCCAAAGCGGCGAAGCGGTTTAAAGCCTGTGGCAAAGTGGAGCCAATTGGCGTGCGGGGCTCCTTGAATGGGTATTGAACAATATAAACACCATCTTCTCTACGAGCATGTGTTTTCAGAAAATGTTGTTCGGCGGGATCACTGGCGTCTATCGTTGTTTTACTCGGATGCACTTGTTCCATGTCCATAAATGAGCGAACTAAGGAATCCAAATCTTCATAAGCATGATGAACTTGTGCGTGCGCAGATGCTTCGTTACAATCAATATAGCTGCCTGTAATAACCCAACCAAAATTAGTATGCAGTGCAATGGGGTATTCGATACCAAACTCTCGGCGATGTCCAGTATATAAGTTCCACAGCTGATCAGCGCCTAAGATAACGTCGATTTTGCCCGGAGATCCAAACGTCGGGTCAGCTAGCGGTAGGCTGCGAATCTTGGTCCAAATAGTTGCATTTGATTTGACCTGCTGAGCTGGAATCGTAGAAGTTAGAGAACTCATAATTAGACAAGAGACTTCCAATGATGCAGTCGTGGTTCTTGAGAGTAAGGTGAAGCTAGCGCGACCTCGGCTAACACCAGCCGGGTTAGCACCTAAACCAACTACCGAAATGCGGGCATGCGTGCGAGGAATACCGATCCTTTGGATAAAGGACTCAGATACCATAGTTATTGTTGATCCAGTATCGAGCAATAACCTACATGAGGTCTCGTTTCCCCATGTGTCAATTACATTGGCGACAACAGTTGGCAGTAGGGCTGGATTGTTGGCCCTCTCCAAAATATGATGGCTAACAGCGGCAGTATTCGTATCAACGACAGTCGAGTGCGCAGGTGCCACAGGAACCGATCTCGCTTCAATCGGGTGTACTAACGTGTGATGCTTAGCATTGCACTGACGGCAAGTGTTCGATGAATTACAATCCCTGACTTGATGCGATCGACTCAAGCAGTTGAAGCATAATTTTGTATCCTTGGCGAAGGTGCGGCGACCGACTACATCCAGTGCCTTGAATTCATTGCATGAATATATAGAATGCTGTCCTTGGCAATATATACATTCGCGAGACGACTGAGTTGATCCACTGGCATGAAAGGCGGATTGGCGGCGTCTACTCTGGGCTGGTCTTGAGGGTTGCGTTGCGGGTAAGTCCTGACAAGACTCCAAAGTATCACAATGGGCGAAAAGAAAGGCGAACAGCTCATCTATGGTGGCGTCTTCAGTGGCCGATAGACTGCAGTTGGCCCAAGCTTGTTTAATTTCTGAACCTAACTTTGACAGCAAAATATGAATGAGCCATACATCGCGGCTGTCACAGTTCAGCGCATGTAAGCCTCGAATGCATTCGTCGGCCGAGTCAATTACCTTGCGTAATTCTGCAATATTCGAATTGTTAGCGGTTGGCAACGATAAAAAATTCTGAACAAACGATCGAGCGATGAGCGACCTTTTATTATAACGATTTTCTAATTTTTCCCATGCGTCTTGGTAATTATCGTTACAGACGGCAATATGTTTAATTAGGGACAGTGCTTCTCCCTCCAGATATGATTTGAGATAATGAAACTTTTGGCAATTGGAGAGCTTTTCGTTACTATTTACTGAGCTTAAGAACAGATCACTAAACTGGCTCCAATCCTCATATTTACCAGAAAATGTGGGAATCCGAATTTTCTCAAACCTTAAATCAGCAGTTCCCGATGAAGTATGAATTTTCTCCAAAAGGTTGTTTTGTCCCTCAAATAGACGTTCCACTGTACTTGAAAGTAGAATGTTCGACTGGTCCTGTCCATGATCTTGACCTCCCATGTCCTTGATGGCGTTACTAAAAATAGCATGCGCGGCGTAGAACTTGTCCTCGTATTCGGGTATGTCCAATCCAGGGTCTTCATATCCCTCCTCCAAGTGAAATTCCACTAAATCATCTGAGAGCTCCATAAAGTGGTTGAAAGTAGCGACCAAACGCTCCAGCTTGAATTGCAATGTTTCCACATTTTCACATCTTTGTGAAAACTCCACAGCACTGTTGAGGGTGCGCGTTATTTGCCCCTTGCAGGCACCACGTTGTTGAATCTTTCTATGCATTATCGCGTTCATGACGAAAAAGCGGTAAATTTGTCTCTAATGTTCACAAAAGTAAATGCACAAATAAACGCGGGTATCCGGCTCGAAGGACCAAAATTTTTATTATGTTTATGAATAGTGGACTGTATTTGTTTTTTGTATTAGTTTTATGCATTTATTTTCACTATTTAGCGGGTTTACAATACTTTAAGCGGGGTTGCTATCAGCGAGCGGTTGCGGTTAATATCAACAAGCGAATGCGGCCGGCTTGCAAAACGTGCATAAAAAGAACAGAAAAACGATCGCGTGATGTTCTAATACTAACGCATTGCACTGCAATTTCGGCTATGCGTGTGAGCTTAAAGCTCCCAAATGGTTACAATACAATGATGTGCGCAAAAATAGGTACTATAGGTAATAGGTAAAAATAGGTAATAGGTAAATAAGCAAAAGTAAAGAAGCAAATGTAATACTATTTAAATGCAACAAAAAGACGAACTATTTCCCAACACCACTAAAATGGGAAATAATTTTAATCATAACCAAAATTACATTTGGCCCCAAAAGGGAAATTTTTGGCAAAATAATAATCAAAATAATTATCATAAGCAATAAGCTATCGAGCCAATGGATGTTGATCCACCGATTCAACTCCAGAATAAATCTAATAACAATCGGCAGCCGAGCCAAAATTGGCAGTCAAATAGTAACCAAGGAAGATATAATAATTGGCAGGCAAACGATAATCAAGGTAGATATAATAATAGCTATCATCAAAATAAAAATTGTTCAAATTTCTATAACACAAATCAAAATAGAGAGCAAACTCAAGCTCAAAAAAGGGAATCAGATGGAACAGAAAGTCAGCCAGCTAATAAAGTAACCAGATTAAATAATATTAATGAAGACCATTTTTAAGACCAGACCCCTACAGAGGAATGCCTTATTTAAATAGGATAGATCGAAAAACCAAGAAGCAGCTAAAAGTTTTAATAGATACAGGAGCCACTGCTTGTTACATAAAAAGGGGAATTTTTGAAAATAAAAACGAGCTACCAATATACAAAAAGGTAAAAACAGTTCATGGCTACTCAATTATTAGGTATTACCATATTATAAATATATTTGAAACAAAACAATTATTTTATGAAATCGAATGTTTAGAATCTGATTTTCTAATTGGATTCAATTTATTAAGAAAAATTGGAGCTATAATAAATATAGATAAGGGAATATTGGAATATAATGCGAAACAGGAGAAGTTAAAATATTATGATAATGAGGAGAAAAATGAATACGTTTAATTGAAGAAAATAATATTCTTCCGTTAAAAGAATTTATTATAAAAAAGTATTTTAATGATAATGGTAGCGAAAACACATATTAATTATTTGTTGAAAATAGTGAGAAAAGCTTGGGAATTAAAAATCCCTAGAACGCCGACGTAGAAATATCCGTCAACAAAAATATAAATATCTTGGGAACTAAAAATTCCGAGAACGCCGACGTAGAAATATCCGTCAACAAAAATACAAATGTCTTGGGAACTAAAAATCCTGAGAACGCCGACGTAGAAATATCCGTCAATAAAAATAAAAATATCTTGGGCATTAAAAACCCTGAGAACGCCGACGTAGAAATATCCGTTAATAAAAATAAAAATATTTTGGGAATTAAAAATCCTGAGAGTGCCGACGAAGTGAATACCGTCAAAAATCAAATAAATAATATAGGTACCGACCAATTAGGCGGATTGAGGGAAAAGATAGTTCACTATATTGAAAAGGAGCATTCAAAGATAAATATGCAAATTCCTTTTAGAACAGACATAAAGGGGGAAATAAATCTTATCCACGATAGGCCTATATACGGGAAGCAATATCCGTATGCTCTATCTGTCAACGACTTCGTGAATAGCGAAATCAATGCTATCAGAAAAAATAATAAGGCCTAGAAGCCCTTACAATTAACCACTTCTGGTAGTCCCAAATAATAAAGCCTAGCAGAATCCCTTACAATTCACCACTTCTGGTAGTCCCAAAGAAAGGAGAGAATCAAGACGGAAGCCGTAAATCAAGACTCGTCATTGATTATAAAAAATTAAATGAAAGTACTATACCTGACAGGTACCCAATGCAAGACCCATCAGTAATTCTATAAAATTTGGGAAAAGCAAGATATTTTTCAACAATAGATTTAGAGTCAGGATTTCATCAGATACTAATGAAAGAATCTGATGTCGAAAAAACAGCTTTTTCAATAAATAATGGAAAATACGAATTTTTAAGAATGCCATTCGGATTAACAAATGCACCAAGAATCTTTCAGAGAGCAATGGACGATATTCTAAGAGAACAAATAGGGAAAACATGTCATGTCTATATGGACGACATTATAATATTCTTAAACTCAATTGAACAACACTATACAGATCTAAACGAAATTATAAATATGTTATTGAGGGCAAACATGAAAATCTCTTTAGAAAAATCTAAGTTTTTCAAACGCGAAACCCGTTTTCTAGAATACATGGTATCCTATAACGTCATCAAGACAGACCCAGAGAAAATTGAAACCATTAGAAAATATCCGCTTCCAAAAAATATTCGGGAAATAAGAAGTTTCCTAGGTTTTACGGGCTATTATAGAAAATTTGTTTCAAACTACGCCTACATAGCCAAACCTCTAACAAAATATCTTGGAGGTCATAATGGCAAAATCTCTAAAAGAATGTCAACAAAAATGTTACTTCAGCTGGATGAACCAGCAATTAAAGCTTTTAACGAGCTGAAAAAAAATCTCATTGCTCAAGCAGAACTAGTTCAACCGGACTATAATAAAAAATTTACCTTGGCCACCGACGCTTGCAATTTGTGCAGTTTTATCTCATGAAGGAAAACCAATTACTTTTATTTAAGAAACCTTGTCTAAAACAGAACAAGCTTATGCTACTAATAAGAAGGAACTTTTAGCGATAGTATGGGCTCTTAAAAATCTAAGAAATTACTTATACGGAGTTATTGGAATTTAAATTCAAACCGACCATCAAACTTTATCTTACACAATTTCGGATAAAAATCCCAATGTAGATATGAAAGGATGGTATTCTTTCATACAAAGTTTTACACCGAAAATAACATTTAAGCCCGGTACAACAAATGTAGTTGCAGACGCATTATCTCGAATTCAGATAAATAATATTACCAACAGCGATATAGAACAAACAGACCAGTCAGACTCAGATCAGAACACACTGCATTCAGTTTTGAAAATGTAGTACAAGAGACCCGTAAACCGTTAAATCAATTTAAACAATACAATACATGAGTCACTGAAAATCTTTGACAGGACCCGATATTTAATTGAATATGACACACCAGAAAGTTTAATAACTATATTAAGAGAGTATCTCCCACCTAACATTACGGTAGGAATTCATTGTACCTTAGAGGACTTATTTCAAATTCAATTACCTTTAAAAAATAATTTCACAAACACATTCTTTTTTACAAGAATCTTTCTACAAGACGTGGAAAACGAGGAAGATAAAGCTATAATAATAGAAGAAGCACACAGCCGTGCTCATAGGGGGCTAGAAGAGTATTAAAAACAGATCAGTAAATTATATTATTGGCCAAACTGTTTTAAAAAATTAAAAGAATATATTAAAAATTGCGTGATTTGTAACGAAAATAAATATAACAGGCACCCAATAAAAATTCCAATTGGAGAAGCCCCAATTCCAAGTAAAGAAGGAGAAAATGTACACATTGACATATATTACGCGCAAGGTCTTACTTTCATAACTTGTATTGACGCTTACTCAAAATTTCTAGCAGTAAAAGAAATCCAAAATAAATTAAATATCGAAAATAAAGTAATGGAACTTCTTCAACATTTTCCACAAGCAAAAGTAATAATGACCGATAATGAACCGAGCTTTACCTCGCCCCAATTTAAATCTTTCGCACAAAGGTGCAATTTAACTTTACATTACGCAGACCAGAGGCACAGCACGTCAAACGGACAGGTTGAAAGGGCACATTCTACATTAACAGAATTAGCTCGATGCATTAATGAAGAATTTAATTTAACTGACTTTTCCGAAATAGTAATAAGAGCCGCTCAAGAATATAATCAGAGCATTCATTCTACAACGAACCAAAAACCTTTTGACGTACTATATAATATAATAGAGCACAATAACATTCCTGAACCCAAGAGAAAAAATTTATTTTTTGAAAAATACCCAAGAGAAAATGTTGGAAACACATAATGAAAACAGAAAAGAAAAAGAATATAATGTAGGACAGGTAATCTATGAAAAGAAACACGGGAAAAGAAATAAACTTAAAACCAACAAAATAATAATCATCAATAGAAATAGAATTATTCACAAAGATAATATAAAATTCTAAGTATTTATATATTATCCTTTTTTTCTTTCCTTTCCCAGAAAATGTTTTATCAGGTGCTCATACTACACCTTATTTTATTAACAAAATCAGAAATAATTGACTATACAAGTCACGAATATCTTCTATTTGGACAATAAAGACGTATTGACGTACGATTCATACGCAGATTTATTCCATGTAACTAACTTAAGCTTTTATAAAGAAATAATAAATTTGGAATCAGATAATATTAAAAGGGATACTAATAAAAGGTCACAATGGGAAATTAAATATGACATAAAAGCAATAGAACTAATTTTATCACAATTAATATCAACTAGATCAAAAAGAGGGATAAATGAGTTAGGCACCGTGTGGAAATGGTTAGCTGGAACTCCGGACCATGATGATTTTATTACAGTGCAGAATAAAATAATGAATTAATTGAAAACAATAATAAGCAGTCTATTATCAATTCCCGATTTTTCAATGAAATAGAATCTCTTTCCGATGAATTTAAAAAAGTATTTGTTGATCAAGAACCACCACTTCGAAAACATCGCTTGCGATTATTAACATTTGATCTGCAAAATTTAATTGACACAATCACTCTAGCAAAAATAG